GGTTAGGCTGGAAAGGATCTTGAAGGACCTTGTCTGTATTCCATGATAATGCAGTTAGGACTTATCCTGAGAGGGGGGAGGGTGTTATTAATGTATATTAAGCAAAAGAGTGTGCATTTGCCTTTAGAAGAGTTATTTGGGGAGCTGTGGGAAACACATTGGGACTCGGATAGAGAAATGTTTGAAGATGGAGTTAGGAAATAGTTAGGAGGTTATGGCATCATTTCAAGGAAGAAGAGACAAGTGTCTAATTCATTCATTCAACAGACATTGCATTTAGGAACTATTAAATAGGTTGGACCTATCTAGAATTCTCTATGACTAAGGAAAGGGAAGAATCTAGCATGAGTCCTAAGTCCAAGTCTGGTTGACTGGAAGAAAATACTTTAGAGAGGTGAGGATTTGAGAGGAGAGGAAAGAGGAGCTCAGTAGGTTAGTGGACATGTTGACTTTGAAGTTACTGTAGTATATCCAAGTGGAAATGCACAACAGACAGTTGATTGTCCAAGGTCTGCAGTTTAGATGAAAGACGGGACTTTACTCAGAAGTAAAAGTGTTCAGGTAGATAATGCCTGAAAGTGAGGGATAATACTTGGTGAGGGGGCACTGTCCCTTAGGAACACTGACATTTGTGGGAGCCAAGGAATATATTTCTAGAGAGAAAGGTAGGATGGGGTGTACAAGCAGGAGGAAAAGGCCCAATGAAGAGATACCATAGAGGACAAGACAAGGAGCTGCCCACTGGCTCAAGAACCATGAAGTCAAGACAGAAAGGGAACTGTGCACATTTGACTTTTCACCTGGGATCCTTGGTGATGTTGGCAAGAGCTTGAGTAGTGAAGCAGTAGGGTGCAGTAGGTGTGGAGGCAGGCGACAGACTTAAGGAGTTGCTGGAAGTGAAGAGATGTGCACGGATTATAATTTTAGGATACTAGGAAAGACAAGCATGTGGGATTTTTAAAAATTGGTGGTTATTCAAGCATTTTTTAAAACATGTACATCTTGTAAATGGAGGAGGGGGATAGGGAGGCTGATAATTACTTTGTGAAAGTCCTTGAGATAGATGGGTTGGAGGCAGAAGTGGAAGCCAGCTCTCACATGAAATTAATTCATATTGTCTGAAAAGTAGGAAGTTGGAGAAGAGGTATGGATAGTTGGGATTGCAGGTAAGTTTATAGAGGGGTACTGGTGGTAGATTCTGGCTTCTCTAAAGGATTTAATTTGAATTAAGCAGGGAAAGAGGGTTCCTTTAGAGTGTGTGGGATGAGAGAGAAAAGGAGAAGGGTTTAAAAGTTGTTAAGAAGGAGAAAAAATGTACATGGAACACAAGAATAGGTAAAAGATTAAGGGCCTAGACAGGTGGGGTCTAAGATAATCTTTTGCTATTCCCTAAAGGCAACACTAATTTCCTTTCCCTTTTCTTCCCTCCCTCCCTTTCTTCCTTTTCTTTTTAAAAATATTTTTGCAACACAAATTTTCTGAAAAGTCTGTGATACAGAGTCCCCTCTGTCCATCCACAGCACTCTATCCATGCAGAAAGGACAGCAGTATGACCTTTCATGGTAAGAAGTACTTACCATGCCCCATATGAGAACTGTAAGCTCCTAACTGATATAATTCCTATATTATTGTCATCACTGTATCATCCCCTCTCCTGTCACAGTGATCATATCAGGTAATTCTCAATAGAAGCTTCTTGCATTTTAAAAATTTTTGAGCTGAACTCTGCTCTGACTACCATAGATTAGAGTTTCACTGCAGCTTTTAACCTGCTTTCAGGACTGTGATCTGAGATGGTTTGTGTTGGTGGAGTGTGTTGGTGAAAGTTGTAAGGTCCAGTGCTTTTGGCATTTGATATAAAGCAATTTTTCCTCTTGATTTGCTAATTTTCTTGTACTCTGCATCACTTTTGGTGCAATTTGTCTGCTTTCAGATTTCTGTAAGCACATCTTGTTTATTCAGAATTTCCTTACTCATGATAATTATTTTCCTTTATTTGCCCCCTGTATTTTCTATCTTTTCTTCACTTTGCTGTCTCATCAGAAGGCAACAAGCAAAGGAGAAAAACCCCAGATTAGATCATTTTTCCTACTTAGTAGTTCTTGATATGTGTTTCTAAAGGATGAAGTTATAATTAAGGTCTGGAGTGACATTTTTACACTACTCTCATTTATTACTTATTAATGTAAAAGGTTACTCAAAACATGGTTTGGTTTATTCTGGTCAATTTTATTTTAAATATTACTGACAGCATTTTTTCTACTTAAGTTACTTTAGCTGTGAAAGAAGTAATGCAGTGAAATCAGTGTTTTCTGTGTTCTTTACCAAAGTTATTTTCTAAACATAGTTGTGCAATTATGTTGTGTTTAACAACCACTTCTCACCTAGAGTTTTCTCAAGAAGTTTGATAGGATAACAGAACTCTTCACTTTCATTTCTTCTACTAAAGAATAATTTTTAAAATTATTAAATTTTAATATTTTAAAATTATTTAAAATATCATTTTTAAATCTTTTAAGTGATTCAAAAGTGTACAGTGGACATGTCAAATTTTTTTTATTTCACTCATTAATTAAAAAGCAAACTAGCAAGGATGCAAAACACATTTGAAAGAGAGTTGGGAGAGTGAAAAGATTTATAAGCAGGAAGGAATGCTGAAATAAAGTTGCTAATAGATGCAAACTTCGTCAGTATCCTTATCAGTAAAACATAATTTTTGGAATGTTCTTTTCCACCAGGTGGAAATCAGTTGCAAAACAAAATTTATTTGTATCTCTTAGGACACCAGTAATGTGCATTACAATCCATTTTCAACAACTTCTGGAATTGTAAAAGAGCCCAAAGTCAGTGAAAGACACTGGTCCTTATAGAGTCAGATAATTCCAAAGGGTCTGATAGACAGTGCTCAGCACTCCACCGAAAGGACACCCAGTAATCTTTCTGTCCATTTCAGATTCTTTCACATATTTTTTGACACTTGCCATCTTTTGTAATTCCAACATCATCGCCCCTTTATACACTGTGGATTCTTCCCCTCCTTTCTTCTGTCTCATGGGAAATAATTCACAACTCTGAGGTTTTTGAAGAATGCAATTTGAAGTCCAGATTTTGCCTGGAGCTTCCTAATATCTGGGTGGCTAGAAACAGAACTAGAAAGAAGTGAGCTGTGGACACCCACAGGGCTCCTTCAGAGGGCAAGTTCCCCAAAGTACAACAGTTTGGACCAGTAAGAGAGAGTCAAGATCATTACATTAAAATGCCACACTGTCTAGTTTTTATAGTGTTGCCCTTTATTTTTACAGCACAGTATTGTTTAGAGAGCATTAGCCTATATATTTTTTTCCTTTGATGTTCACCATAGTTTTATGAAGTTGCTGTGAAGTTTTTGTTTTGTTTTGTTTTGTTTTACAGTGCTAGAGATTGAACCCAGGGCCTATAGCATGTTTCACAAGTGCTCTGTCACTGAGTTACATCCTCTATATCCCCAGTCCCCAATGTTCTTTTTTTTTTTTTAATCTTTTTTTTTTTTTTATGTGATTAGGATTGAACCTAGGGGTACTTTAACACTGAACTACATCCCCAGCCCTTTTTAGAGACAGGGTCTTGCTAAGTTGCTTAGGGATTCACTAAGTTGCTGAGGTTGACCTCCACCTTGCAGTCCTTCTGCCTCAGCCTTCCTAGTCTCTGGGATTATAGGCATCTACCACCATGCCAGATCTTTTTATCCTCTTACTTATAGAGTGAACCAAGGCATAGAAAAATGAGTTACTTAAGATTACATACCAAAGAAAAAAAAATGACAGACATAGGGTTTGTGCTCAGTTTATGAACACCATCCAGGTCATATTCAATTCTGCATCCTTACGTTCAATTTTTTCATTGGATAATAAGTATGTTCTTAGAATAATAACAACCTAAGCCCATGAATTTTGATTCTAGTTTATAGAGATGAAAGACATCTTAAGGACAAACTATTTACACTTCATTTGTATTCATTAGTGTTTTGCTGAGGAAAAAAAAAATTACCACTTAGATAAAAGAGTTGATAAGAGGCTGAAGAACATGGAAGATAACTAGTTTCTCCACATTGTTATACATTTTAGTTGTATACTGCAGCTACTGGCAATTTGTGCCATTAGGAAGAGTTGATGGAATACACCCTGATCATTAACAATATTCGCTCTTGGTTTCAACTTGTTTCTTGGCTTTTAGAGTGGTTTATGGTTTCTAAAAGGAAGAAATACCTATAATATACATTTGGAAATTGTTGTTCTGTAGGTTCAGTGAAATATAGAAGTGGGAAAATGCCATTCAATTGTATCTAATCCTTTGTAAGGCTTGCATACAAAATGTCTATTGCTGTCTAGATTTGCAATGGGAAAATTGCCACAGAGAATTTTTTTCTCGTTAGTATTCTAAGACTTTCCATCTTTGTGGAAAGATGTGATTTGATGTATCCAATTTACTTTGTATATTAAAGTACAGTAGAACTGCCCCTCTCCTTTTTCTTTTAGGAATGTAGCATAAAGGTAGAGATAAATTTTATATCAGTTTAGCAAGTTATATGTAGAAGAAGTGTATAGCAGTTGAGAGTGAATATAGTATTTGGGTTGATTTTTCTCTTCAAAATTTTCCCATGGTAAGGACAATACTTTTCTACATATATCAATAGGCAGAAATGATTACTTCAAAGCTTTAAAAGCCAGATGACTATACTTGCATGTTCCAACACAGTTGCTGAATTTATTCCCAAGATGCATGGTAATGTATACTTTGCATTATTGAGTCTGGATAAAGAAAAGTTACAGTGTCATCTATCAGCTGTGCAAGTTAATATCGAAATAATCTGTTTTTCACTTTACTGTTCTTCCCTATTGCTGCACTACTTGCTTAAATGAACCCTGGAAGCTTTGCAGTTTATTTTAAGGATTTGTAACATACCTAAGATTTATAGTATAGAATTGTATAATTAATGAAATCTTTTTCTTTTTCTTTTCCAGGTTCAGCCCAGCTACTATTTAATAAAACCAAATCAGTAGAATTCACCTTTTGCAATGAAACTGTTGTCATCCCATGTTTTGTTATTAATGTGGGGGCACAAAACACTAACGAAATGTATGTGAAGTGGAAATTTAAAGGAAAATACATTTTCATCTATGATGGAGGCCAAGACAACGCTACTATGGACAGTAACTTTTCAAGTGCAAAAATCGCAGTCTCCGAATTACTTAAAGGAGATGCTTCTTTGAAGATGGATAAGCGTGATGCGAAAGTAGGAAACTACACATGTGAAGTAACAGAATTAACCAGAGAAGGTGAAACCGTTATAGAACTCAAATATCGTGTTGGTAAGTAATATAGTTTGAATATGGTTTTTCCCCTTTGAAACTCATGTCAAAACTGGATTGCTGTTGTGACTGTTGGGGTGGTAGGGCCTCTAAGACGTGATTGATTAGGTCATTGAGAGGGATTAAGGCCTTTCTTGAGAAAATGAGATATGACAAAAGAAGTCCCTCCCTTGTTCTTTTGCTCTCTAATACACATTCCACCCTTCCACCATGTCATAGTGCAATACCAAAAGCAGAGTAGATGCCTATACCATGCTCTTGGACTTCTCAGTCTCAGAAGTATGAACCAAAATAAAGCTCTGTTCCTTATAAATCACCCAGTCTCAGGCACTCTCTTACAGCAACTGTAAACAGACTAAGACAGTAAGACCTCTATAATAGCTTCCTCTTTGTCCTGCTACAACTGTGATCCTATTAGAAATGGAGCACCCTGGGACTAGGAACTCCTTTGAACCAGAAAGCAAGCCATTAATAATGAATGTTAGTATAATGTTTACCAGCTTAAGACCATAGTTTCTATCTTATTTGCTCTGCTTTAAAATTTTCCGAAGTTTTAAAACTCATCAACTGATCATTCATTTATTTGTTGTGTGGCTCTCAAACTTTTGGTCTGAGGACTGTTGTTCTATTTGGTTAATCAGTCCTGAGACATCTACTCTGCATTTCTGTTTACTGCCATCAGAAGTACTTTGTTTCATTTGATTAGTTTTTTAGTCTCTTTACAATTATTAGTTTCAGTTATTAATTTTGTTTTGTAACTTTTCACTTTGACCAGAGGTTGACAAAAACAACACAGGAAGCTGTGCTTCCTCTACAGAGGATGAGAATCTAGATATTAAAGGTGAGGTTATCATGGGTGATTCCTTTCCTTAAGGTTCTCAGTGCTGAGCCTTACTTAGAATAATATTTGGCCAAGATGTGGGGGAACAGGGATCTAACTTAATTGAATTTGTGTTTTGTTTATAGCACAATTCTGCCCTCTTCGCCAAACTGGGTTGTGTGAGGCCATGAAGTTAGCTGGAGTATACAGTCTTTTTGCTATTACTTGCTATGCTAGCTTATTTCTTCATCCACAAGAGAGGGGGATTTTTTTTGGCTTTACATTTTTAAAGCTTTATTTTGCATCACCCAACATATTGCTGATCTTGGGGTTGACCATACTTTGAGATGGGATCAGAACAGTTCATTGGATCAACTAGGTTCTTTCTATTCTTCTAGCCTTTACTGTTATGTCTCTTTACCCCACTGGGAATGGAGTGTTTAGCTTCATGAAGTATTTGACATCGCTCAGGATTGGGAATCAGCATCTTACTATTTACTATATGATCCTGAGAAGTTGCTTCATTGAGTCCAAGTTGCTTCATCTCTAAAATGGGAATGAAAATAGGTAGAGACTTACTTTTATGTGTTCTCCAGGATCTAATGAAGCCTATGTGTTAGAAGTTCTCTGAAAACTAATGTGTATTACAAGTGTTACTTGTTTTCCTGGGATGTTCATATTATAAAGGTATCAGGTTGCTGAAGCCAGCACGGAATATTGTGAGAGGGATTTTGCGCAGGAGAAACAGGCAGGGAATGGCTTAGAGCAGACGAGATTTTGGAAGGCTTTCCTGCTCAGAAATCTTGCCTACCTTGTAATTTTTACTACTGATATTAATATGGGCAAAGGAGATTTTTTTTTTAAATGTACGCATTTCAGAAGGGAGCTAGTCAGTCAGTCACATACATTGTGAGTGCCTGGAGGGAGATGATCTAATACCTGATTGAAATTTGTCTGGAGTAATTAAGAGTTTCATGGGAGTGAAAGAACAAATTCTGAGGGACAGTAACTTCGGAGGCAAGGTAGTTCACTGAGAGGAAAACTGAAAACTGGTAAGAACCAAGACCTAAAAGGTCAGAAGATAGAATGAAAATGAATGGTAAGGGAATACCAGTATCTGAGATGAAGACAAGGTTACATTTTGCATGTCATTGTTTTATTTTTCTTTGTTTTTAAAATACCATGTAAAAAACTTATTTATATTTAGATGAGAAAGTATTATTTTATTATAGAGAATATAGAACAATTTACCAAAGGACTGAAACATTTGACACCCATTTTTATTTTTTAAAATAATTATTGATTCACAGAAAGAGTCAAGAGAAAGGTGCTGTGTCCCCCTCTTCCAGTCTTCCCTAATGGTTACATCTTGTGTAACTATGGCATAATATCAAAAGCAGGAAATTCAGTGTGTTTGAGTGTTTCTCTGTCATTTCTACACATTGTTCTTGTGTAACTATCACAGTCGTTGGAATGGAGAGAGCTATTTCATTAACAGACATCTCTCTCATCAAATCTTTTATGGTCACACCCCTACTTCCATTACCCCTAATCTGACAAGCACTAATTGGTCAGTGTTATATAAATGCAATCATTTGATAGATGACTTTCCAATATTTTGGCTTTATCACGGAGCACAGTGCCCTTGAAATCCATCCACGTTGCTACATGCATCATTGCTTAGGTTCCTTTGTTGCTTTGTTGTATTTTTTGTTTGCTCCCCACCCCCTGCCTTTTTTTTTTTTTTAACTGAGCAGTATTCATTGGTATGGATTTATCAGAGCTTGTCTAGCCATTCACCTATTTCAGGACATTTGGTTATTTCTAGGTATGAGTTATTACAAATGAAGCTGCTGTGAACAATTGTGTACAGGTGCTTGTTTAGATATACATTTGGTTTTGCTGATCCATTCATAGAAGTATGATTACTGGGTCATATGGTAAGTGTATGCATAGTTTCCAAGAATGGCTGTTCCATTTTACATTCATTTTACATTATCAGCAACGTGAGTGACCTAGTTTCTCCACATCTTAGCCATGATTTGGTGCCACTATTTTGCAACAGTTTTTCTTTGGAAAAGTAAAATATTACTCTGTACCAAAAGGATAAGTAGGGCAGTACTCTTAATTGGGAATGTACATTTGTTGTAATAATGATACCCATCATGTAGACTTCAGGAACTTAGGCATTAGACACTATTTTTACTATAATGTGCTTTTGTATGTGCAAAAAAATAGGTATAAATGAGGAATAGAAATCACTCAATGAGATTTGAATCCCACTTAATAGAATGCAGGTAATGGAGACTGTTCAGTGTTCCCTTTTCTGGATCATGAGAATAGAATATGTGCAATCATGGTCTATAAGACATGGTTTTGTAGACCTCCGGTGCCAGTGGACAGTACAACACTATGGAAGGAGCACAGTTCTTGAATTTAGAAAGCTCTTTTCTATAGTTCATTTTTCTAGCTTACAGAACTCAAGAGAAGTTCAACCTATCTGTCCCTCAGTTTTCTATTAGTTCAGTGAGGATACTATCTCAATTACAGGAATGTCTATAAAAAATAAGATAATATCTCTCTTGCTTAATAAAGACTTGAGTGCCTACTATGTTACAGGCACTGTGCTAGACGCTGTTGATTTAGTGATGACTAACATGTTACCACTAAGATCATGGAAAAAGCGCAAAATGACCTGACATTTATTTACTTATTTGGGCACATCCTAGATACTTTATGTATGTCATGTTTTTTGAGTTTCTCAAGAACTCTAGGACATGGATGCAGGTCTCACCATTTAATGCATCAGGGGTAAAAGAGACTCAAGATACTTATTCAAGGCCAGAGTCACTGCCAGAATTGTAGCCTGGATCTCTTTGACTTCTAAATCACCATATTGTGTGTTTCCTGTGTGAAAATACCTTGTAAATAACCAAATACTAACTGTAAATATTAGTACTTATATGATTAATTATTAATAATAAGCCAGGCAGAGTGAAACTATGCCTGTAATCTTAACAGCTGGGGAGGCTGAGGCAGGAGGATCGCAAGTTCAAAGCCAGCCTCAGCAACTTAGCAAGGCCCTAAGCAACTGAAAGACCCTGTTTCTAAATAAAATACAAAAAAGGGTTGGGGATGTGGCTCAGTAGTTGAGTGTCCCAGAGTTCCATCCCAGAACCGCCCCCACCCCCAAAAAATAATTGCTAATAATATTTCTATTTCGATTAATAAGACAAAAAACATTGAGAGCTTAAATTTTATTTTACTCTATGTAAGCTATTAAGGTCATTCAAGTTCAACAGAGTTTCCAGTTCCATCATTGTGAATATGATATACACTTTATTCATAATGATGAAGACACTCTAAGGTCCTCATATTAGTTTTCTAGTGCTGTGCAATAAATAACCGCAGAATAGCAGTTTAAAACAATATACATTTATTCATTCAATTTTTTAACTCACAGCTCTATTCATGGTGTGACTGGGTCATCTGCTCAAAGTCCTATAAAGCTAAAATTCAGATGTTGGCCAAGTTAATATTCTTTTTTTTCCCACGTTTTTTTTATTAGTGCACATTTTTTATAGTTGTACACCTTGATGGGATTTGTTGCCTATTCGTATATGAGCACAATTTAACAATATAATTTGGCCAACGTCACTCCCCAGCACTTCCCGCTTCCCTCCCTGCCTCTCAACCTCTGGTCCCCTTCCTCTACTGATCTCCCTTTGATTTTCATGAGAATCACCCCCACTTTTCTCTTCCTTTTCCCTCTCTATCTTCTCCATATGAGAGAAAACATGTTATCTTTGACTTTCTGAGTTTGACCTGTTTTGCTTAATATGGTCTCTAATTCCATTCGTTTTCCTGCAAATGACATAATTTCATTTTATTTATGGTTGAATAAAATTCCATTGTGTAAATATACTATGTTTTCTTTATCCGTTCATCTGTTGATGAACACCTAGTTTGACTATTGTGAACGGTGCTGCTATAAACATGGGTATGCATGTAACACTGTACTAAGATAACTTTAATTCTTCAGGATAAATACTGAATAATGGTACAGTTGGGTCATATGATAGTTCCATGCCTAGTGTTTTGAGGAACCTCCATACTGATTTCCATAGTGGTGTACTAATTTACAGTCCCACCAACAGTGTAAAAGAGTCCTTTTCTCCAC